GGAATCTAGAATTCTGAGGTGGAGTGGAGTATAGTTTTTACCTCTTTTTAATGAGTTTAAGCCTTTTTTATTATATGGGCTGGGTAAGCCAATATATATATATATATATAACAAGACAGTCCACATCACCATGCCTCTCCTTGCTCCAAACCCCCTTCCTAATTTCTTGTTTTTTTTTTTAATTTTTTAATTTTTTAATTTTTTAATCCACATAATCAGCCATTAAACCAATAAGAAAATAACATAGGCTTAACTATTTCTAACAACCACAAAGGAGGGATTATCTTTTCTAATGTTTAGCCAAATGGCACCACTTTCCCCCATTTTCTCCTAAATTGTCTCTAATTCTTATTTATCTCTTAAATTATCTCTAACTCCTATTTATCTCTTAAATTATCTCTAATTACTATTCTAGTAAGCATGTACGTGTTTTACCCGTGGCAATTCTAGATGATGATAATGATAGTAATAATATATCCAAACTTTTCTATAAACTTCTATGTATTTTTTTTTGTTTTTATATTTTATATTTTTTATTATTAATTGGATGTAGATTGCAAAATCCAAATCTGATTACATAAACACCTCATTCAAATATGTGATAATCGTATTGAGTTGTGAAGTGTTAGGTATCTTTGACAAGCCTACCTGCTTGGTATGGATGCAAAACGGACTGGATCAGATTTGAATCAAGGTATATCCGAATCTGATCCAATACTATTAAAAGAATATCCAATTGCATCTCATAAACATGGATTTGAATACGAATCCAATGAGGAAGTCAAGTATTTGGATCTGATCAATTCCAATTTAATTTAAATATTAAAAAAAATTAAAATATAACAATTTAAATAAAAAAATACAAGTATCTTTTCAACCATTTTCATCATATACATACATTTTTTATGAAAAAGTAAATAATATAACAAATTTGCAAAAAATAAAATATAAATAAATAAGGATAAGGAGTGATCTGAATTTGATCCACTTTCTTATCAGATCCTATTATCCGACTCGATCCTATTTGAAGATCTGGCTGGGGATATCTGATTTCGACAAAAAAAAAAGGTTTGGATAGGATCATGATCCAATCCATTTGCACCCCTACTGCTTGGCTATATTCTTCATTTTGTAATGTTTTTTTATATATATTTTTGTCCATTTATAAAAAATTGTAAGATTTAAATAGAGTGAATTGAATATAGTGAAAAGTAGTAGTTCAATTTATAATTTAAAGTTTTAAACCTTATAATTAAATATGGATTAATTCAAAAATGAGTATTTTAGTCAAAAGAAAATTCCACAATCTTATTCATATTTTTTATAGTAGTGTAAACATAGAATTATAGATGTGTTCAATTTTTACTATTGTTTTTTTGTATTTTTGTGTGTGAAACTAATTTTGATATTTTATACTTACTTTTTTTTAATATGATAAATATATGATATTATACATGTGTCTGAAATGTTGTTTTTTTTTTCAAAATGTATATATTTTTTATTTTTGTATTTTTATATTTTCTTAATTTTATTATTTATTTATGATGTTAAATTTTAATACATTTAACCCAAAAGTTAAACTATTTATTATTAACTTTTATATTTCATTTTTGGCCAATTCTAAATTATGTATTTCATTTTCATTATCAATAAAAATAATTGTTGTTTATTACACTTATTTTTTAATTTGATTACATAAGTGTGTCTAATTTTTCTACTTTTTTTTGTAATTTTCTATATTTATTTCTATTTTAAAAATTTTATTACTTAACTATGACTTCGTAGATTAATCAATTTGACTCTGATGGTTGAATTACTTAACCACCACTTGGATAAAGAATAGTTTTGTTTTTTGAGTCAATTTTAAAATATATGGATTTATATTATTAAAAGTATTGACATACATCTAGTTAGTAGTATTTATTAATGAAAAATAACTTAAAAATATATGAATTAATAAGAGAAAATGAGATTTAATACTTTAACAATGACTTAATTAGAGGAGATTAAATGATGTGGAAAGTAATAATTGAAGTTGCATTTTGAACCCTTACAATTAGAAATGGATTAAATATACAAATATGGGCATTTTAGTAACTATTAAAGTTGGCATTAAGGCTCAGTTTGGAAGGAGTACAAATACAAATGTGTAGAGTGCAAAAACCTTATATTTTGTATCTATTTGCATTATACATATTTTGTATTATTTGTACTTCTTCCACACTGAACCTAAAGCTATAATAAAATGATTGTTATACATTTTCTTAAACAAAGAAATAGAGCGTAATTTTAGTCCAAAAAACCTTCGACACTACTTTTACACTTTTATATAATATAGATATAAATATATAGTCGAGTAGGTTCAGTTTTGGTCAGTTTACAAATGGCTAAATTGAAACTGGCCTAAATATTAAACAATTATATACTCTTATGTATTTCTATTGTTTAGCTTTCGTTTAACAAAGCCCATGCATTGTACAGGCCCCCACTACTAGTTTACATATATTTTAATATGTGAGTTGCACATGATACATATATTTTTATTTTTAGAAATTAAATTTTAAGTTTTCTTTACACCTTTAGTAAGAAGGCTACGTCTGTCAATGGGTTGGGTCTGAGTCGTGACAGGGCACAAAATCACATATCTAGAGTCATCCAACTATAATCAGGCCTAATCTGATAGACTCGATTATTTTGATAAATATAATTATTTACATTGATAATAAATTAAAACTTGATTTTTCATAATATAACCTTAAGAAAAATTGATAGTAAACTAGTGAAATATTTATGTGTTAATAAATTAAGTATTTTTAACTAATATTATCTTACATATTATTTATCAAATTTATAGACATAAAAATATAATAAAAACTACAAGAGAATTAGGAGATATTTATATATTAGTAATAAAATAATCAGTTTGGATTTGAAACGGTTTAGAACAAACAAGAACCCAAACTGACCCAATTATTATCGAGACAAAATCTAAGAACCAGAACCAATATAAGATTCGATCCGGTCGAGTCGAAGTAGAACTAACCCATTGACAACCCTAAAAGCTAGCCATGTATTTAAAGAAAAAGACCTCTTGTCTGAAGGTACTAGTTCTGGTTGATGTTCAAACTTCTATGTGCTCATATTAACCTTGATATTTATACAATTTTACAAGCTTGAACTACTCTTAAGATTTTTCCTAAATGCTAAAACATCCCCTCTTTTCAAGTTGGATTTAATCCAAACCTCCTCTCTTAGGTGATGTCATTGACAAATATTACCCCTCCCTTAACCATCCGTTCAATGCGTTTGTACATGATGTCACGGTTCAGGTAACCAAACTGTGGGCCTTTTTTTTGAACCAAATTGATAGTACCAGTTTTTGGAAAACCGGTAACTGGAACCGAATCAAAATCAATCGGTTAACTGGTTGACTGGTTTGGTTAACCATCGGTTTAGTTCACTGGTTTTTGGTTTTTTAGTTTTTATAATATATATAAAATAATATATTTTAAATAATAAATAATAAATAATATATTATAAATATATATATTTATTAATTTATAATATATAAAAAAATGTATATAATATAATATACATAAATATATAAAAAATATATAGAAAAATATATATACCAGTCAATTCGGTTAATTACCGGTTTTTTATATTGATTATTAACCAATTTTTCGATTCTATTTCAGTCGGTTTTTTCAATCGATTTAGTTTTTCAATTTTTTTTGCTCACTCCTATTTATCAAAAAAAACCCTTCAACAGTTTCGATCCTCTCTCTCTCCATAATTTTTACCAATCTCCCTTTTTTTCCTTATTAAATGGATGTTCCGACTACTATATGCCTGCACTCGACAGAGCCCGCCCATTAACATTCAATTGCTTGAGGAATTCTTAGGTTCAGACTTGGGATATGCAATGAATGCAGTGTTGACACATTGGGTGTACATCTTTGGTCATGGTCCATATATAAAACCATGTTTGGGAGTCCTTAAAATAAGTGTTTATTTGAAATAAATAGTTATTTGGACCATTAAATACTTATTGATATTTGAAAACTAAATCTGAAATAATTGTTTATTTTAAAAATAAAGACTTATTTTTTTAAGCCTTTTTTAAATGCTTATCGATCAAATCAAAGGCTCCATTAACCTTTTTCTATTCTAAAAGTCTATTTACAACTGTATCAAAATTTAGGTGATTTAATTACAAAACAGGTAAACATCAATGGAGATTTCAACAACAAAAAATTTAAAATTTTTCCCTTGATTTTATACCATTTTTTCTGTCCACTCTCTTTTAATTTTTTACACGTGTCACTCAACTAGTAAAAGAACATATGCATAGAACAAAAAATTAAAAAAATAATATAAAATGTCAATTTTCAAAGTGAAAGAAGGAAATTAAGTGGAGGAATTTAAGCAAATAGGAAGTAAAATAGACTATAACGAATGGTAATATATATTTAAAAAAGAATAAAAATTAGTAAATAAATATTTTGAAAATATTAAAATCATAGAAAATCAGAGAGGTGAGAGAAAAAAGTAAGTTGGGAGTCGGAAGAAGAAAAAAATTATTTTCAAGAAAAAACTTAAAGGAATTCTAATATAATAATCAATTTCAAGAACTGAAAAAAAGTTAATAGGTCTTTCCGGCTTCTTCCCAAGCTTTGAAAAGACTCACCAAATCACATGTAAATTAGATTTTATGGTTTTTTTAAAAAATAAAAAATCATGAAAACCAAATAATCATCTCCATGCTACACTATAATCTTATTATTTTTCAAATATATAAAAACAATTGCCACGCCCATAAAAAAATAATTGATACGAGTTTCATCTATGCATTTCTATATTCTTTTGACCAATAATTTGAACTTTTCTCCTCCACTTCCAACCATATATGCACAACCACATCAACCCCATTAATTGGTGCAGACAGTGAATATCAAACAGATAAACAAACTGTTCATTGGTGCAGAAAGTGAATATGAAACAGATAAACAAACTGTTCGGTTGTTGATCGATTATATAAAAAAAGAGCTACTCCTACTAGTAATTCACATTTTCTGCATCAACTCTGCAACTTATATCACTAGCAACAAATTCAAAACCATACAGAGTCGCTCAGAGTGAGGAGCTAGAACTTTCTCAGTTCTCACTTCTCATTGGTTTACAATAACTCTTCCCACCTCTCTCGCTCAGCTGTTGCTGGGGTCGAAGGCTGTGGCGAAGGCCCAAGCGTTGTTCTTGAAGGGGTCGGCAAGGTGGTCATACAGGTTCTCCAATGGCCCCTTGCCTGTAACGATGGCCTGAACGTAGAACCCCAACATGGCGAACATCGCCAGTCTGCCATTCTTGATCTCCTTCACCTTAAGAATGGCGAATTCTTCTGGGTCGTCGGCGAGGTGAAGTGGGTCGAAGTTGCCGCCGGGATAGAGTGGGTCAGTCGGCTCTCCAAGAGGCCCTCCGGAGATACGGTAGCCCTCGATGGCGCCCATCAAGATAACTTGTGCAGCCAAGACGGCCAGAATGTTCTGAGCGTGTATCAACTTCGGGTCGCCCAAGTAGTTCAGTCCTTCGTCTCTGAAGATCTGTGAACCAGCCTTGAACCATACGGCCTCACCGATCTTGACGCCATTGCGTTCGAGCAGCTCAGGCACGATGCATCCTACGGTTCCCAGCATGGCCCATCTGGCGTGGATGACCTCAAGCTCACGGTTCTTGGCGAAGGTCTCTGGCTCAGCAGAGAGCCCGGCACTGTCCCAGCCGTAGTCACCGGGGAATTCACCGGTGAGGTAGGACGGAGTCTGGCCGGAGAAAGGACCCATGTACTTGACACGGTCAGGACCATACCACGGGCCTCCAGTTATGGATTGCCTGGGCCGAGACAAGGTGCTTCTCATGGTGAACCCGCCTTCGCCGAGATTCTTTGAGGTGAAGCCGGTGAGTTTCAGTGCTTTTCCGGCCAAAGAAGGAGAGGAGAGAGTCATTATTACAGAGGCAGCCATGACCATGATAGAAGAGCGAGTGTGTGAGTGTGATGACTGATGAGAGCTGAGAGAAGAGAAGACGTGTAGTTAGTTGATTTTGTTTCAGGCTTGTTGAATGTTGGTGGTATTAATAGCAATAGAGAAGCAAAGGTCCTTATCTTTGGAGATCCATTTCTGTCTTGCCGTTGGTTCGTACGTTCTACGTATCATGATTTCGCAGGTTCACTTGGCACTACCCAGGGATACGCGTCGGCGTGGAATGAATTGATACATGAGTCTTGGCGCTTTCTAGGCCCTACATCAAGAATCTCCTGCATGGCTGTTTGGCTCATTTCTCAACCATTGAGCATTTGCCTATATACGTCCTATTTGAGTCAAAAGAGCAGAACTCTATATATACAAGCGGGGATCGGTGCGATGTGAATATTGTTTAAAATAATTAAATTTTTATTTTAATAATTTATTGTAAAATGTTTTAGTAATTTAGATTAATTATATTAATATTTTTAACAAATAATTATTATTATTATTTATTTTTTCATATTATTTAATTTGTTAGTGTTCTGTTTTATTTATTTTACTTTATTAATGATTAAATGTTTCATTTTTTTATAAGTATCACAAAAATATATAACATTTCTATATATATTAATATAAAATTTGTTATCTAAATACTATATAATAATATTTACCATATATACATATAACTTTCAAGTTGAGCTTATTAGGGGTTCTTTACCTTGGGCCCTATCCACTAAAATTATTATTGGACTCCAAAAGTTTGATACCCAATTAGATTTCAAATTTGATTATCCCTGATAATGTATGGACTTAGTGCATATCTTAGCTAGACCTAACTCAAAAGAAAATAGTTGCTTAAGCTTAAAAATTTATAGATCTAATCGAGTTAGGTTAAGTTATAAATTATTTGTTACTTTTTATTACTAATTTTTAATAGTTGCTAGATAAAACCTAGGGGTGATCATTCAATTTATTCAGTTAAAAATTAAACTGAATAAATTGAAATTTTAAAAACTGAACTAAAAAAATATAAAAACCAAAACCGAACTTGAAATAATCGAAACCAAAATTTTTGGTTCAGTTTTTGGTTATTACAGTTAAAACTGAATTTTAGTATATATATATGTGTGTGTGGTGTGTGTGCCTAAAAGTTGAGACCTAGACCGGACCATGACTTGTATTCTTGGTGGGTCTCTCATTGGCTCATCCTAATCTGATCAAACCGGTGGCCAACCCAAGCTGTGTTTCTTTAGTAAGAAAATTTTCATTTACAATAGAAAACTAGAAAATACAAGTAAAACAGAAAGAAGACGGCAGAAAAACAAAGCACAACAATCTCCTAGCTATCAAACCATCTGAAAAGAACAGAATTCTTCTAAAGCATTGTTCCATCAAATTTGGGTAGAGCTAAAAAATATTCCCCTGATTGAGAGCTCGATTGGCAGTTAGCCCATTGCTATTTTTTGAAATTTATATCTATTTATTTATCTATTCTATATAAATAGGTAATTGTCTTGGGTTCCATGTCAGTCATAAAGTTAAATCCAAATATTATATAAGGTCATTTATTAAAACACCACCACTAGTTTCATGGATTTAGTAAAATCTATCCTATAATTTGTGTTTTACTAAAATATTCCCTATAGTTTGCAACCCATCTACTTAATCAACCTTCCATTAGATGAAAGTTGAACATGAAAGTTTTAATCCTAACTTTCATTCAAATAAATTTAATCAAAAGAAATTAAAAATAAAAAATGCCATTTCCCCCCCCTATTAAGACATAAACACCCATTCTATTTTTCTCTATTTGGTCAATATTGTTTTCTATACAAAAAAAAAAAAAATGTTTGAGGTAATTTCGAAATAAACAAACATGGGTCCATACCCATGAACATTTTCCACTCAGTTTAGGGGGTGCTTTTGGAATAATCAACCATGGGTCCATGTCCTTGAACATTTTTCCCTTAGTTTAGGTGATTATGTTATTCAGTTACTATTTTTATATGGCAAAACAAATAATTCTTAATGAAAGGTCGATTAAACAAATAGATTGCAAAATATAAAGGATGTGTTAGTAATGAAAACTATAGGGTAGGTTTAAATAAATCCATGAAACTATAGGTGTGTTCTAACAAATAACCTTATCATGCATTATACATGATTAATATTTATTGTGCACCTTATCCTAATACTAGTATTTAAGAATGCTCCTATCTCAATGCTCACTAGAGCTGCCAATGGATTGGGTCTATTTGACAGAACCAAACAGACCAAATTGATTATGTCGATTCCAATTCTATGGTTTTGTCCCAATTAATAATTGGGTTGGGACCAGTTCTTGTTATTCCAAATTGATTAGGACCCATGCCAATTATATAGTTAATAATACAAAAGGATCACATGTTTTTTTGTAATTTTTGTTATATTTTATGTCTAAAAGGTAAATTTTATAAACGAGATAATTGTGGTTAAAAACACGTTTTTATCAACATTTAAACAGCTTAGTATTTTACTATCTGTTTTATTAAAGTTATTCCCAATTGATAATCGGAAAGGGACTGATACACCCTATCCCGAACCAGACCCAACCCATTGGCAGTTCTGATGCTCGCGGGACCCTCTTCTCTTTTCATTTGTTAAAATAAAGGAAAATTTCAAGGTACTCTCTACTCTAGGCTGAGTGTCAATTTAGTAATCCAATTTTAAGAACTTTCATTTTGCCGACAAAAATATTCTTAAAGTATCATCTAATTTTCTTTATCAATCATATGATAAAACCAGACCGATAGAGACGCCTATTTATTCATCGCCTGGCCTCTCCTCACTGCCACCCGAATTGTGTCTTAACCGACTATTTCTTGAAGAACACCGGTATGCACCCGGCAAGTATCCCGTAGAAGGTCGCCGAGTTGGCGTATCGCCAATTCGCCAGGGGGCTGCAGGCAGAAGCTCGATTGCAGCATTGTCCTCATGTACCGAATTCGGTCGTGCTAGCAAACGTCATTGGAACAATCTATGAATTCACATGGCTTAATGTTATTGTTGCTGCTAGTACTGATGCCGGTTTTATTGCTGCACTCGATTCGAATGCTGCGTCGAATATTGGGAGTCAAAGACGTGCCACCTTCACGTTCATAGTTCAAAAGCTTCCTCCGTATGGTCCAGAGCGGCAACAGTCCCAATAGGATGACCCCGGAAGTACACTAACGACCGTCTCAGAGCATCCCAGGCTTCGGCAACCATTGGATGAGGATCAAATGAATTGCGAGAAGAGGACGCCGGCATATCTAGGTAGGAGGACCTTCCCCCCGGCGAGTTCATGGCCTCTAAGTTCTCCACAGTCCACACTTGCTCGGGCAGCAAGACCAATCAATAACTCGCTGAGAGACCTCTCATCGAAGGACCTTTGTCGCTCGACGTTCAGCTTCGGTTTATCAAGAAGCTTTTTTAAATCAAAGTCGCCCATCCCCGTAAGCGAGGAGGTGGAAGCTACATTCTTGAGGCCCGCATCTCGAGCTCCCTCCATTCGTCTCTCCTCTTCCGATGCAACAGAGACTTATAATCCGTAGAAGGATCTCTAACTAAAGAAACCGAATTGCTTAAAAGATGAAACAACCCAAATTTCAATATAACAAACGAAAATAGCATGAGATCAAAATCAGAATATATAACTGTCTAATTTATCAACACTATTGCTAAAAAAGAAAAAAAGTTTCGATTTTCTCAAGAAGATATTTTCAGACAGACAAACAGAGAGAGGGAGAGAGAGGCTCGGAATTTGACAAGATAGACCGCATTATCAAACAGACATGGAAGAGAGCAAGCTAACAAAACAAAATTAATGAATTCCAGATCAAGATCCACCGAAAGGATTAATGAATTACACCCTACACCTCAATGACAATTGACATGCATGAATAAACAAAACCCAAAAGAAGCAAAAAATCTGAAATTTCCGCATTATGGCAAACATTCCGACTAAATCAACGGAAGTATTTGTTGAGAAAATCAGATATTCAGCGAAAATGAAGGACAAAAAGGAAAGGAGAACGTTGAGAGATCTGGACGAAGGAGCCGACCTTGGAGAGCTCAAATGGCGGGAAAACGAGTCACCTCTCCGGAAAATTTAACGGTCGGACTCCGGCGAGGACTCGCCGGAGATTAGATGAAGGAGAGACAATGAGAGAAAGAAGAAAAGGAAGAAAAAAAAGGAGCATGGTTGCAGGCACTGACGACCCCAGGCTTCCTCCTTATGGTCCAGAGCGGCAACAGTCCCAATAGGATGACCCCGGAAGTACACTAACGACCGTCTCAGAGCATCCCAGGGATCAAATAAATTGCGAGAAGAGGACGCCGGCGTATCAAGGTAGGAGGACCTTCCCCCGGCGAGTTCATGGCCTCTAAGTTCTTCACGCTTGGTCGGGCAGCGAGACCAATCGATAACTCGCTGAGAAACCTTTCATCATCGAAGGACCTTTGTCGCTCGATGTTCAGCCTCGGTCCGTGAAGAAATTTTGATTAACAGTATCTAAGGGTAATTTTGATATTTTTAAAAGTTTTAAATCACACATGTTCTCACGTGATATATAACTAACAGTTAATTAGGTATTAGATTATCGCAAAATAAAAGTTCAGGTACTAAATTGTCGCATTTTAAAGTTCGGGTACTAAACTAGCATTCGACCTAAAGTACAGAATAGTTATCGGGAATTTTTTCTAAAATAAACTAAAATCATTCTCTCTCTCTCTCTCATTTCCATTTTTTTCAAGTTTTACCCTTCCCCATTAAGTCCTCCATTTCTACGGGTGCAACTCAGGCAGACTTAGGTTGGACTTTTGTCAAAATTTTAATAGGCCTAGCCTGAAAGCCCAAGCCTGAAGCAATGTAAAATGCTAAATCAGGCCAATCCGAGTTACACCCTTACTCATTTCCTCTTAAATTTCTTTGAACCTCCTGTTGACTTTCTCTAATAAAACAGGGGTATAAAACTATAAATTAGATGATTGGGTAATGGTTGAAGGGCCAACCCTACCCTAATCATGGCCTTTGCACTGATCCAAACTGATGCCAAAAGCCTAAATTTGCCAATTTAAACTTTATGAAAATTCAACCCCAATATATATATATATATATATACACTATAATTATTTTAAAAATATATAAAAGTAATCATTGCTTATCTTGATTAGATTAATAAAGCTACACGCTATTAGAGAAAAAAAAACCATTAGGTTTTTCAAGGCCTTTTATTTTAATACATGTTATTATTTAATTAACAGTATTTTTAAATAATTATCAATATTTATTCAAAAATAGTATTATATAAAGTATTTATTAACTAATATAATGTAAATTATAATTTATTAAAAATAGTATTAACAATTACAATATTTATTAATTAACAGTAATTAAACAATTACAGTATTTTATTAATATATTACTTTAAATAATTACAGTATTTTAATTAATTAACATTATTTATTAAAACTAATGTATTTCTTTATTAACAATATTTTTAATAATTGCAATATTAATAATTAATCATATTTTGCAATATTTTCAATAATTGCAATATTATGAATTATAGTATTTATTAAAAAATATTAATATTTTTTATTAATTCATTACTTAACAGTTTTAAAATTATTAATTAATGTAAGTTATAATTTAAATTGTATTTTAAATTATATTTGAAACTATAAGTAATATAATTAAATTTTAAATTGTAATTAAAAGTAATTATATTTAATTTATTTAAATATAATTTAAGCTATAAATAGCAAAAAATTACATTTAATGAACAAAAGTTAGCCAAGAAAATAACCAAAAACGGATTAACATGATTTCCAATATATATGATATATTACCAAATATTAAAAAATATAACCATTAAAATTACTTTTTGAAAATATGTATTAATTATCAATAAATTTTCAAGAAGTAAATGTAATTAGTTCATAGTGTATTTAAAATACATTTATTTTTTCGTATAAATTATAAATTATAAATTATATAATTTAAATATTATAATCCTTGCCTATGATGATATTAATTCAATGTTACAATAAAGACTAGAAAAAATGTGTTTACTATTATATATTTCTATTATTTCACTTCCACGCAACAAAGCCCGTCGTACATCACACAGGTCCCCGCTAGTATATAGCGTGAATGCCTCAAAAGCCAATGCTCAGTCTTCAACAGATGTTTTGGGTAAAAATGGAGTGGAAAGGGGTTCATTGCACAGTGCAAATACATACTTGTCCTTGTGCATATTTTTCTCCTTCCTAAATAAAAATTACCTTCTAGAGTGTGTGTGTGTGTGACAGCTGAGAAAGAATACTTTCCTCCTGCAATGTCATTTACAGGTCTGAATTTTCAAAAGCAATTATTTAGGTTCAGTTTGGAAGGAGTACAAATACAAATATGTAGATGTAGTGCAAACCTTGTATTTTGTATGTATTTGTACTGTACATATTTGTATTTGTAGTCTTGAAATATTATTTGATTGAAACCTGTAGTGTTTATAGCAAAATAGTATCATGGCCTCGTGGGTTGGATTGGAATAGAGGCTTCCATGAAATCCAGGATTTTCTCCGCTGAGTCAAACCGGACCAATCAACTAACTGAAAATTTAACCAATTGCCATCAAAGATCAAACCAAATTAGTTTGTATAATATTTGGCGGTCAAATCATCAGTTCTCAAGGGTTCTTTGAAGATTCTGGTTCAACAGAAGTTGCAGATCCAGCTTGGTCTAACCCGGACTAACTATCAAGTCTGATTTAAAACACTGCATTGCATTCAGATTGTCCTTCGACTTCAGTGTTCAGAACCTCTCAGGTGAGGTCCGTAGAAATCCTATGGATTTAGAAACACAAGCATCCTGTTAAATGTGTTCCCTTAATAGTTAATAACGAGTTTTCTTCCCTGTGGTTTCCTATCTGAGGGCTGTCACCTACCTAATTTCAGTGCAAACAAACCATCTGCAAAATGCTGTTACAGCGATGCATTCACTATTCCTTTTCTGGCAAGGAAATGCCTTTTACCATCTATGAATTACTAAGAACTGATCCTTGAGATCTTGATCTCGTATAACCCAGTTCTTTTAGCTTCTCCATTAGCTTTCTCTCTGCATCGGCCTGAGAGCCAAATTAATAGTATCAAAGTTCACATAAATGCACAAGGAATTCACGGTACCAAAATTTTCCAGAAAATTAGTTTTCATTTTGATAGTGTTGTATTGTATTATATTATGGAAATAGCACTAAACAGAACAGAATGGCAAAACAGGATTCACATAGCCCACACCATATGGTTGGGACAAGGTTTAGATGATATGATGATTCAAGTATTGTCTCGTATTATCCAAAAAAAATAGAGGGACAGAGAGAGAGATTTAATTTTACTAGTCAAAAAGACTCAAAACCTTCTGACTTGCAGAAAACAGAAAAGTTGTCCAGAAACTAAAACAAATCATACAGTATATAGCTTAGAAACAAATGTATCTTTTTTTTTATCAATTAGAAACAAATGTATCTTCAATATTTCAATCATAAATTTTGTTAGAAAAAAACTTAATTTTGATTAATAAGTGAATATAAATTAGATAAAGAAAAATTATAAGTTAGAAAATGTCATCTGAACCTAATGGTTGTATTTCTTTTGTATGTCTATCTAGAGGTATGATATTCTATTTTCCACGGCTAAGGACCATTTTTTATGTATAAGTTGGATCTTTGGAGTGTCAAACCAGCAATATAACATATTTCCACTCGTTATTAATCCTATATTAAAGTGATCTAATTAATTCAAAGTCCTTGACCAAGAAAAAAATTCAAAATCTGCACTGATAAATATCCTACGATTTCTAAAATGTTATTCTAATTCCTAGATTTCCAATCTTTCCATGTCTCCATAGTTCGAATGTTCTGAAGAACTAAATTTACTGACACAGATTAATTCCACTTCCATGAGGACCAACATTAACACCAAGATTCAAGTTTCTGAAAAGTAGAACAATGGTTTCCCATGGCCCTATCAGAAACATGCATTAACAATATAATCTTATACATAGATAAATAGTTTTATTTTTCTTTTTGAAAATGAAACACAAAGAACAGACAGACATAAATAAACAAGATTTTCTCGAGTCTAAATGACCTTTGAACTAAAACAAAAAAAAAAAGACCTTAGAACAATGTGGCAGCATAGTTGGTAGCCCAAAAGGGCCTCACATGTTTTACTAAATACCCTTTATTGATGGAGTTCCAAATTTCCTTGCCACATATCCAAAATAAACTTTTTGAGTTCTTTATTTTATAAGAAAAATGTATATCTGGAATCTGGATGATCAATATCACTTAGGTTAAAGTGCAATATAAGGAGAGGTACATTACTATATTACTAACATGGATTAGGGAGTGAATTATGACCAATCCAGATGGTAAATTACCTAATGTACAGTTAGAGTTAGCAATATCACATTCACATGGAAGAATACACACAAAGCGAGCGAGCGAGCAAGCGAGAGAGAGAGAGAGAGAGTACCTCAAGCATGGGGCTGTTCTTGGGAATATTGCAGGCCAGGATTACATTGAGACCAGTCTTCAGTACTGAAGAATATTATGAAATTAGTCTGGTGAATAAGGAATACAGTCTGGAAACTATAATTATGTGTTTATAAAATTTACCTATTCGACGAGCAATGCTTGATCCGGTGTTATCAGAGGCCCCTCCAAGTATGGAAGCAACACTCACAGCATTGTTCTGTGATGACCCATCAGATAGAAGGTCAATAACAAAAACAGAATCAGCAACAAAATTGGTGATGAGACGGTCAACTTACAGGCCGAGTAGGTGCAGCAGCGTATAGATGCCCCAATTTGGCAGAGTTGCACCCAATCCATGCATATATCTATAGCTAACATTAAGTTTACATGGTGAATAGAATCACACATACATACACCTACCACCTCCTCAAAGAAAAAAAAAAATCATACCACAGAGAAAGAATACTGAGAAAATATTAAAATACAAAAACTCTGGGCATAATAAAAATTTAAGAGGCATCTAAATCCTATTTATTTGAGGCAACATCAGAATTACTATAGCTCAATTAATACAGAAAATGGCATGAGAAACGACTGCATCAAGTTTAGTTGATAATGGAGGCTGTAAACAAATTTAGCAGCGACTCCTGAAGCCTGAATGACCCTATAATCATCATAAATGAAGTAAAGAAAATATTACCATTTTCTGAAAGTCTTTCTAATGGAAGCCCCAGTTAGTCATTGATGTATATATAGTTAATAGTTCTGCTGTCCAGTTGGCTTCAGAAGGTGAATTCCAGAAAAAGAAAAAACCAGGCAGAGAGACACCTCTACTCCTCCCCCTCGAACATCTCCTCCTGTCCATCATCTGACATCTGCCTCGTTCTACACCTCTCCCCCTTCTCCAACCGACACCTGTTTCAGGCTCTCTTCCCTCCTCAAACTCTTTAATTGCTCTTCTAGCAAAAGCCTCACCACCCAAAAAGAATAAACCAAGACTTTTGCAAACTTCAGCGTTTCTCTCAACGATTTTCTCAAGAGACAGACATCCTCCCTTTTCCACTTTTTCTTCTGATGACCTATAGTAACTTTCCCATCAACCTCGCTCCCGTCCCCACTCTTCTTCTTTTGAGACAAATTCACTACCTGATCATCCAAACTAAAGGAGTCCAGTGCCTCTACCCCACTCTTCTTCGCTTGTAGTTTTTTTGTAAGACCTGTCCCAACCAATCCAAGATTCAGCCTTGAAAATTTTTTGTGACGTGAACGATATGTGTGTTGGTTGCAACACGAAGCTTCTTAGGACCCGCCAAATCAAGAACAGTCTTACATTTTTCCTTTGCCTTCCTTCTGCAACCTAAATCAACAGCTAATTTGTCAATCACCACTTCCTAAAGAGAGGAATTAACAAAAGGATAAGACTCATTTGCCAAACAGATCCTAGCATCTCCTTCTCCATCTGTATCCTTTTCAAAAACACCTTCACGGTCTTTGTCATTTAGGTGATGTCTTCTACTTTCTCAAGACCATTATCCCCATCCCCAAGACCAAGCTCCACCGCAACCACCTCCACCTCTAGGCCACTTGACAACAATGACACTAAGCCCGACAAGAAATCTCAAGATGGTGAACTATCATCCATCTGGGAAACTATCGCAATTTCATTAATAGTGCAAATTACTTCACACAAATATGCCCTCCTTTCACTAGTGCAATTTCATTTGAAGGAAAAAACAAATACTTGCTTTGTGTAACAAGCATGAGATCACAAGTTCAAGTCTGAGAGTGCCCACAAAAAAATGCCAAAGGTTAGGTTCATATCCAGTCCACCCCTCTCAAGACCCCAGATAACTGGGACCAGCATTTGGTAATGGCTATAATATGTTTTGGGCCAATGTTCATGTTTTCCAATTACCAAACCTCAGGCTTAGATGATGACATGCTAAGTCTGTTAGAAAGAGCAACTCCTGTCCCTTAATAGTTCAAGTACCCAACTCACCATCACCAATGTCTTAACAAATTTCTTATGCATGTTTGGTTCCTACTACCCTTTTGATAGATAGGTTCCTATTACCCTTACCCCATAAGAAAAATGAAAAAAAAAAAGATTGTTCTTTTTTTTTTGGTGATTGCTTAGCAGTTATTTGATATTTAGGGATGGCATCTCATAAGGACAGAACGCTAAAAGACCTCAACAAAGTGATTTTAATAGGTCAATAACTTTGCTTTCCAGAGCCATGGCCAACAAGGATCTTTTTCACTAAAAGGCTGGAAATATTATTTGAGAATGGAGATCCTATTCTAAGAGAAGGAATACCAAAATTCTTATCTAATTGACTAGCCAGTTTAACTTTGAGAATCTTAAGGACCTGGCCACACACACACAAACACATAGCCAGTTTAACTTTGAGAATCTTAAGGACCTAGCCACACACACAATACAGAGAAAGAGATAGAGGCTTCTAGTTAGGTGATTTAATAAGCTTCCCTAAATGACATCTTTAATGTGACAATTTACACGGGAATCCAAAAGGGACCAATCTGTTTGTCTTTTTGGCCTCTATCATGATTCATGGGGAAAATTTCAGTCCAAAGCACTTGCTTCTTGTCCATGATAAACCCTTCTTTTTGGGATAGTGTTAGAGTCGGCTGTACAAGGGTAGTGCAGTCCTTTTATGTTTAGTTATATATGTACTGTTCAGCTGATGTGGCTCTCACTTAAGTGAGGACACAATGGTAATCCTTGTATATCTTAGAAGAGTATAAATAAAAGAAGGGCCGACTAGAGGGATTTGATTTTTCTCTCTAGTTCGGCTGTGACTTTTTCTCCTTTTTCTTCTCTTTCTTCTTCTTCTTCTCCTTCTCTCTATTTTCCTTCTCTTTCTTCTGATCTGAACATATACGAACATCTAATCTGAGTGTTATCATGGTATCAGAGCCACGATAATCAGTTCAGATTAGTTGTCTCCTTTTCTCTCTGTTCTGCGCGTTCCTCTCTAGGGTTTTGCAGAATTCTCATTGATATTTAGAGAGTTTTCTAGAAAGAAAGAAAAGGACTGGTCGTTTTCTCCTTTTGGGGGTTTCCATGCCTCCAATGAATGCAATCGTTGTGGTTTTGTGTGGTTGGTAGAAAACCCTCTACTCGCAATTCGAAGAGGGCTGGTTTTGTGATGGTGACAATGCAGACTTTGTACCCTCTACTCGACAGGTACATGATCTTCGAACTAAGTTGTGGTATGTAGCAAGTTTCTTTTATATGTTGCAGAACTGAAAATATTATTCGTAGGTGTGCTGTGAGGGTTTCTAGTGCTGACAGTAAACGGCAACAGTAGTGTTGTTGCTAAAAGTGGTGAACAGTTGTGAATATTGTTGCTGAAACAGTGGTGAATAGTTGTGAGTGTTGCTGCTGAAACCTGGTACTAGGAACCCTAGTGGTGTTCAGTCATTCGTGTGGAGTGTGGTGATTTATTAGGGCAATAGAGTAACAATTTAGTGGTACAACTTCCCATTGTTTTCTTGTGCAGTCATGGGAGACAGCAGTGAATACAAATCAAGTGTGATGGTGCCTTCTGATTATCTGAATGTGCAGATGACCTCTATAAAACTGAATGGTGAGAATTATGTCCCTTGGRCTAAGTCTGTTGAAGTTTTCCTGAAAGTCAAAAATAAAGTGAAACATGTGAGGGAAGATAAACCCTCAATTGATTCTCCGGAATATGATGAATGGGAGAAGGAGGATGCTCAAATTATGACTTGGCTATGGAACAGCATGGAGTCYAAAATTAGTGTGAACTTCATGTTTTTAGATACAGCCAAGGAAGTCTGGGATCATGCAAGGAAACTATATTCTGGACAAGATAACACTACTAGGGTTTACCAACTGTACCAAGAGTACTTCAATCTGCAACAAGGGAATCAGAGTCTTGAGGACTATTATGCCAGTATGAGAAATTTACGAAATGAGTTGAATGTTTATCATCCTCTTACACCTGATGTCAAAATTCAGCAACAACAAAGARAGCAGTTGGATGTGACCAGATTTTTAGTAGGGCTGAAATCTGAGTATGAACTCGTAAGGGCACAGGTATTAGGTGGATCTGCTCTTCCCTCTCTTGAGGAAGTGTTTGCTCGTCTTCGGAGGATTTCAGTTGGACCCACAGAGACTTCCACTACGTCAGATAGGTCTGCATTTGCAGTTACGAGAGGGGGAGGTCGTGATGGTAGAGGAGGTCAGCATGGTCGTGGTAGTGGTGGTGGACCCATGTATGGTCGTGGTGGTGGTGGAATGTATAATCGTGGTGGTGGACGTGTTGGATGACGAGACTCAGGGGGAGCCCATGGTAGGGGACGTAGTAATACTCAAAAAATGTGTACTCATTGTAGTATGGAGGGGCATACTATCAACTTTTGCTACAATCTCCATGGCCCACTTTCAACCTGGGCGAATCATGCAGCTGTAAATGGTGGTAGCTCAAGACAAGAATCTCAAGTCACTGATCAGATCCCCACTACATCTACAGATGCTTCCAGAAAGGAGATGGTGAGTGTTTCACAGGATGAGTATGAGCGGTTCATTCAGGGTACATCTCAACAGAACACAGCTACCCTTGCACACACAGGTACGGCTTGTCTGGCATCCACATCTTCCCGTTGGATTATAGATTCTGGAGCTTCCGATCATATGACTGGAACTCCAAGTGTGTTTTCATCCATTTCTCCATCCTCCACTTCCCAATATGTTACTCTTGCCAATGGCTCTACATCAGCCATATGTGGCATTGGTAATGTTGACACTGACTCATTATCCCTCTCAGTTTTATATGTTACCAAATTTCCCTTTAACCTGATGTCTGTTAGTAAATTGACTCAGTATCTTAATTGCTCAATAATTTTTTACCCTTCCTCTTGTGTGTTTCAGGATCTCAAGATGGGGATGAAGATTGGTGGAGGGCATGAAACCGGTGGATTGTATTATCTTGATGGAGGTGGTTCGGCAACAACTCTTCAATCATCTCTCTCCCCTCACCAGTGGCATTGCAGACTTGGTCATCCGTCTCTTAGAGCTCTTCAGTTACTTGTTCCGTCGTTGCGTCGTCTTTCTAATTTAAATTGTGAGTCGTGTCAGTTTGGGAAACATCATTGTGTCTCCTTTAGTCCTAGAGTTGATCTGTACATCCGAGTCCTTTTTCTTTAGTTCATTTGGACACCTGGGGTCCAAACAGAGTAGTGTTTTATAATGGTTACAAGTACTTTGTAATTTTTGTTGATGATTATTCAAGGATGACATGGCTTTACCTTATGAAAGAAAAGAGTGAATTGTTTTCCATCTTCCAGAAATTTTATGCTGAAATTCACAATCAATTTGGTGTGATAATGGCCGCAAATATTTTTCCACACACTTTCAAGAATATTTGGAACAACATGGAATTATCCATCAAACCTCATGTACCTACACCCCTTAACAAAATGGGGTGGCTAAAAGAAAGAACCGTCACCTTTTGGAAACTACTCGGTTCCTCTTACATCAGATGAATGTCCCCAAACCCTTTTGGAGTGATGTTGTACTTACATCTTGCTTTCTTATTAACCGCATGCCCATGTCTATCCTTGAAGGTCAGTCCCCTTTCTCTGTTCTGTTTCCCACGTTGTTTCCTTTTCCCCTTACTCCCAGAGTTTTTGGATGCGTGTGTTTCGTTCATAATCTTGGGCCTGGAATGGACAAGTTAGATGCTAGATCCACTAAGTGTGTCTTTCTTGGCTATTCCAAGACTCAAAAAGGGTATAAGTGTTATAACCCTCGTTCTCGGCGTTCTTTTGTGTGTTCTGATGTTACATTTTTTTAGTCTGTTCCTTTCTTCTCCAAGTCGGATACTTATTCTCCTCTGTTGCCATCACCCCCTCTTTCAGTTCCTGTTGAGGATCCCATTCCTCTTGTCCTGGTTGTGACCCAGTCTTCGCCTCCAGTGCAGCTACTTGAGAGAGGACCACCTCTCTGGCAAGTGTATACACATCGTCAGGCATCGGCTCTTCCCCTAGCTTCGTCACTGTCGATAGATCCGACAGTTAATTTAGTGAAGTGGTGAAGAAGTTTGGAATGAAACAGTGTCAGGTTGACCATTCCGTATTCAGCTATGAATCAAATGCTAGGAAGATTCTCTTGGTGGTATATGTAGATGACATTGTTATCACAGGCAGTGGCAAACCAGGAATTGACAGGTTGAAGACTTACTTGCATGATCACTTCCAGACAAAGGATCTTGGCAAATTAAGATACTTCCTAGAGATAGAGGTTGCAAGGTCCAAGAATGGTATTAATCTGTGCCAAAGAAAATATGTTCTTGATTTGCTAGAAGAAACAAGGTTGTTGGGTGCCAAACCAGCTGAAACACCTATGGAACTGAATGTTAGATTGGGTAGTGATATAGGTAAGGAGTTTGAGGATCCAGGAAGGTACAGAAGGCTGGTGGGTAAGCTTAATTACCTAACCATCACTCCACCTGATATCTCATTTGCGGTCAGCGTAGTGAGTCAATTTATGCATAATCCTAGAATCCCACACTGGGAGGCAGTCCTAAGGATTGTGAGGTATTTGAAGGGTGCTCCAGGTCGTGGTTTGTTGTATAAGAGTGGAGGAAGTCTTGAGATAGAGGGATACACGGATGCTGATTGGGCTGGGTCCATATCTGACAGAAGGTCCACTATAGGGTATTGCACTTTTCTTGGTGGGAACTTAGTGACATGGAAGCGTAAGAAGCAAACAGTGGTAGCAAGAAGCAGTGCAAAGGCTGAATATAGGGCTATGGCTCACACGACACGCGAATTGGTGTGGTTGAAGCATCTACTAAAGGAGATGGGATATTCGATTGACACTCCTATGAAGCTATACTGTGATAACCAAGTTGCAGTTCATATCTCCTCTAATCCAGTGTTTCATAAAAGGACGAAGCACATAGAAGTGGATTGCCACTTTGTACGTGAGGAGGTGCTTAGTGGAGTGATAAGTACAGCATATGTGAACACAGGAAATCAATGGGCAGATCTATTTACCAAAGGGTTGAATTGGAGAAGAGTGGACTACATACGTAACAAGCTGGGACTATATGACATATACTCACCAGCTTGAGGGGGAGTGTTAGAGTCGGTTGTACAAGGATAGTACAATCCTTTTATGTTTAGTTATATATGTACTACTCAGCTGATGTGGCTCACTTAAGTGAGGGCACAATGGTAAYCCTTGTATATCTTAGAAGAGTATAAATAAAAGAAGGGCCGACTAGAGGGATTTGATTTTTCTCTCTAGTTCGGCTGTGACTTTTTCTCCTTTTTCTTCTCTTTCTTCTTCTCCTTCTCTCTCCCTTTTCCTTCTCTTTCTTCTGATCTGAATATATACAAACATATAATCTGAGTGTAATCAAATAGTTTAATATTGAAAAAAGTAAAATGCGAACAACTTATATTTATTACAAGGTGGGTAAGATCTGAGGTGGACTGGGGAATTGAACATCTAGCCAATCCAGTGGGCCCCCTACCTAGTGGATGGTCTGAATCTGCTACATCATTCTTCTATGTGATAGAAATAGGGTAGGTCATGAAGAAGCACTCTACTTAACCTGATTGGAAAACCTTTATATTTAAAACAAAGCTCCAGCTAGCTAAGAAAAAAATAAAAAATAAATAAAAAGCAAAGCTCCAGCTAACCAACCAAAATGTTCTTAGATAGAAACAGGGAATTAATAGAAATGGTTGTCGATGAAAAACTTAATTTCACCCATGTAACACATGTATAATAATAACAGAAAGATGAGGATGAGATGACCACCAACAAAGACTGACTTAGAAAGGAACACTTAACTCTCATTACAAGCCAAAATACACCCTCTACACTGTATAACTGTACTAATAATGAATGTATGAAACAGATCAATAGATATCCTTTAAGTCTTTGCTCTAAGACAAAGTACCTTTTGAAAATAATAGGAATCATCACTAAGAAAAGTAATACAAGTTTTTGGAACATTTCTAACAATGGGAACAAGGGTGAGGATGCCTTCTTCTACCTTAATGTTAGTTAATCTAGAGAGCATTTCCATGGAGATAATAATAAAGGTAAGGAGATATCAGAGCCCATGATCCCCCAAATTGGTTTCAGATCCCATTGCTTAATACCCCCAGCTTGGTTTAAGGGCCAGAAAGAAGATCCATTAAAAGGCACTTTGAAAGAAATAAAGCAATAATTCTATACATCCACATTAAGCAGGAACGTAAATTGCCAAGAAAAAATTTTGATAAACTACATTCACAATTATCACAAGCTTTTTCAGCATCCAAGTACAAAGCCGTGCATCTTAGATGTTCTGTTATATTTTAAATAGTAAATAAATTTCATTGACATTGATTACATTTAAATGATGCTTCTTTCTAGAGAAAAGATGGCTTGAGAATTATAAATTATTTTATAGAGGACATCCTTCATCCTGTTACCTATAAATTTACTTATAATTATACAAGTAAAATTACATACAAAGGTTAATAATGTAAATTAACTAATTTCATAAGGTATGCCTTTTTGGGATCAAGTAACAATCAAAAGGTTTTTATTCTTTTTTTATAAGTAAATTTTTTTAATCAATCAAAAGGTTTTATTCATTCCTATTAAGATCTTTCATGAATGAAACAAAGCTTCTAATCTTTGATAGGTAGAATCAAGAATTGTTCCAATAATACCTAAAACCAAAACCTACCCCATAAGAGCACCAGGCTTGGAGCTTCCTAGAGGTCTCATTAGACAATATCATGGGTCCTGTTTATTTCTAATGGAAGACAGATAGATAATCAGGATTAGAAATCTCCAGGCAAACATATTTAAATAACCATGACTAGAAATACTCAGGTTCTCCATGCAGCCAAAAAAATCTATAGAATTTAGCTAAGCATGGTCCTCAGATGGACTTTCATCCACCACATTGAGTTCCCAAGATCCAACCTTCATTTAAGTGACATACAATATCTCAACAAGTAGAGAAAACATATATTCTTTCAATGCAGTAATATGTTAGCCAGAACCATCAAAATAGAGCTTCAGAATGTTTATAATATCAATCTTGAGAATCAATGATGAAACAAGCACAAGCTTTTCCTCCCACCTAAATTCTGGCAGCCTAGTTTGTTCACCTTGATGAAAGAAGTCAAATCAAATTGAATGAACTGGCAGTCCAAAAGATATAGATGTCACTTAATGTTGCCTTTCTATTGTTCAAAATCATAAAGCCAACACTTAGAAAAAGGTTAAGAGCAAATAATTTAGGATATTACAACAAAAACTCTAATCAATTAAAGAGTGTTAGATAGATTAATCATTGTCAAAAAGAAGAAAATAAGGTTAAGCAAATTACCCCAGATAATCCAAGGAAAAAAAAAATCTAACAAATAAAGTAAAACGTAGTCTTTTAATTGTTGTTGGATGCACTGTCAATTATCTAGATTAGAATACAGAAACAGAATAACAGCTCAAAGTTGTACAGAGTACAGTATGCGCCCACCTGTTTCTCAAGCCGGATGATCTGAAAATGGAAGGTTACATCATTAAGATCTTCTGTAAAACATGTGATCTGTATTCCATCACCGTCACCAGTACTAACTGCACTGGTTGATTCTTTTCCAGATAAGTCTTTGGCAACCGCAACATCAAAATGTCCTTTCAACTCCCCCGAAGCCATTACTCTCACTTGAAAATATGAAATGAATCTCTAACTTGTCAGAAGCTTCCTCTAACACAATCACCAAGCAAAACAAAACTAAAGTGGAAGTTTTAAGGAATCATGTATTGTTAGAGAATAAAACCTATTCAAGGACCTCACTTAACAGCTTAAGCTTTTAGGTTGAATGGTTCTCTGAGATGTATCATGTTAACTTTCAGGATTTCTGGAACCTTAAGTTTCGCAGCTATACTGCTCAAAAACAATAGGGTTTGACATAAAAAAAAGCCATTGAAACCGAGACCTTATAGATTTCCTTTTTCCCATTCAATATTATGCTCCGAAATTAAAATATTTTTCCATCACTCAACATGAAATCAGCTAAGAACAGGAACCTAACGAAGGAAACCAATGAAGACAAATTTAACCAACAAAAAAACAAAAAAAGAGGAAAAGGGGGAAGAAGAAAGAACAAAAGTAAACGACTTACCAAAATAAAAACGGAAAATTCAAAGCTGGGAAAACTAAGATTTGCAGGGACGTGTATTTTCTTAAATTAAAACAGCATCAAAAACTTTGAACTCCGAAGCTTTGGCAATGGCGGCCTCCCGAGTTCCTGCAGCCTAAAGCTCAAGATAGCAACTTAACTTACAAAGAAACGAATAAAAAAAAATTAAAAAAGCTTGAAAACTTATCAAGTTGATCATAGGCAGCTTCTAAAATTCCCAGGAAAAGTATGATTTACAAAAACAAAAGGATCAAAAAAAGAAAGAAAAACTTCTTATCTCTTTAACAACATGCTTCCTTGAATTTAACATTTATTTAAATTCAAAAACCTATAGATTTCAAATTTTGGTATGACAGTAGAAAAACAGAAACCTAAAAGCCCATTATGCAGATAAACCAGTAACAATAAAGAAATATAAACGAAGTATAATGGTACAGATGTGTAAAAAATTTGAAGACCTGGGTTTAGGGTTCACAAATTAGTTCTCTGTAGGTCCGGTGATGCAGCTCAACGTCTGAATCTATAAATCTATAGTAATGTGCTGGTTGTTGTTTTTGCTGTGACTCTGAGAGAGAGAGAGGGGCAGAGACTCAGAGAGAGGCTGTGGGCGGAGAGAGGGAAATATGGGTGCAAATGGATCTCCGATCCGAAGTCGGAGCCTATATGCTATATTCTCACATTCGGATAACCCCGTTTTGAATCTTCGTATTCAACTGAATAATGGGATACGATCAGAAATCGAATCACTCCTATCTAATGCAAGAAGATTTTATTTATTTATTTATTTTTATAAATTTGTTATATTATTTATTTTTATATAAAAAATATGTATATATAATAATTATAATAGTTGAAAAGATATTTGTATTTTTTTTGTTTTTCTTTATTTAAATGAAATTAGATCGGATCGGATACATGTTTATGAGATCCAATCGGATTGGATATACAATTAATAGTATTGGATCGGATTTGGATATACCCTAATTTAAATCCAATCCATTTGCATCTCCTATAGGGAAGCAGGTACACCTTATGATCAGGTCGGGTCAATGCAATTTCGAACTAGGTTGGCAAAGGCTGGATGGACCCTACCCCTAGATTAGAGTTGGTTTTTATAAAATATGGATTTATCCATCTGAGTTTGAACAGTTAAACCATCCGGGTCAATGCTGATTTGAAAATAGTATAAAATAAAGATGATCCAACCTGAGCAGGTCTAAATTTTGTATGGATCGATTTGGGTCATGCCACCTTGTTAGGGACCTTGCTCGGGTAAAATACAAAAATCTCCCCTAAAGTTTCGTTTTTAACAATCATAAAAACCTTTAAAACCTCTCTTGAATTTTTAAAAAACTCGACAGAAACATTAGAATGATGCATCAAATGTTTTTAAATATCCATTTTACCCTTTTTAAAATTAATTTATATATTTCTTGTGCATTGGCACAACTTAGTGCTGACCTTACTCAGCTTAGCTTATTCCCCCTCACCACCTTCAATTCCGACCACTCTAAGGTCCTTGATTTGGTCCAGGGACAGCTTGGCCTTCACCAACTCCAAGTCCACATTCTCTGGCAGCTGGAACTACTTCTAGAACTTGCGAAGACGTACAATTTTAAGAGTTTTCTTTCACGAATTGCCTTCAGAACTTGCAAAGATGTGCAATCGTAAGAGTTTTCTGTCACGAATTATCAGAACTACCTCCAAAACTTGTACAAAGTGGCTTAAGTAACCAATTTCGACGAAGTTTGATTGAGCAACTTTCCTAGCAAACAACAGGTTCTGCCGAACACTGACTGCTGCCAATGAAAATGAATTCAGTGAACCTTGAATAGAAAAAGAGATGAGCCTCTAGTGACGATTAGCCGATGACTATTCTTTATCGTTGAAAATTTGAGTGTCCTTGTAAAAGCATTATTAACTCAATATTTGTCCACAGAAACCACAAATCAGGGCGGAACCCCCAAATATTCCAAAGATATTTTAGACAAATTCTCTTCTCCAACATGAGACACCCAATTCCTCGTTGTCCAGTCATCCCTTTTTCTCTTATGTTCAGCGTCTTCTTCCTTTGCATTTTCAACCCCAAGGAGTTATCTGAATATCCAGATAACAAATGGTTCATTTGTGGATTGTACCCAGCGGGCACAAATCAGGTATACCAATTTAACGGACAAGACTGTTGTGTGGATGGCTTACCTAGACAGACCACAGACCCGTCAATGGTCATCGATCCAAAGTTTCGCTGCATAGGAATAGGAAAATGGTGCTTAATTAATTACCGATGCCAACGGCTTAATCATCGTCTGGTCCACTAACACCACCGGCACCGGAGAGAAAGCCGAGCTCCTCAATACGGGGAATCTAGCCCCCTAGCAAATAAGCTTTGATTCACCTATTGATACTCTCTGCCCCTTGCGAAGGCCAAAGGTTAGTACTACTCCGGCCATTATATTCTGTATTTCAACAAGACGACAGCAACAATGTTTTGAGATTAATGTATGAAGGGCCTGACCTTTCTACTGTGTATTGGCCTAACCCCGACATGGATGTGTTTAGAAACAATAGAACAAATTGAAGTTATAAGAGAAGCACACCAAAAGGGTAGTCCATTGTGATGTAAATCCTGAAAATATACTTTTGGACAAACATTTTGAGCCTAAGGTCTCAGATTTTGGACTGTCCAAATTTTCTCAAAGATGTGGATTTGGTTCAGACTTCATGGTTCTCTAGGATTCCACGAACAAAGCGGTGCATGGCTTCAGAGTCGGCTCTGAACCTTCCTATCACTGCCATGGTTGATATGTACAGTTTCACATGTTTTCTGTCATTAGGAGTTGATTACATAAAATTTGCATAATGGTAAACTGGGTATTTAAAAAAATTGAGGTTATTGTATTTTATTCTTTTACTTTTTGGATTGGATCGATGTTTTGGTTCATGGTTGTACTCCAATAGGTTAGGGGGCTAAAGGCTGGACCCTTGGGTTGGGCATGTGGAAAGGACCGTTAGAAGAACTTATGGGCGATAGACTGTGATTGGTTTCAGTGCAATTTTATTTGTATTAGTACAATGTTTGATAGTGCAAATGCAAATAATGTAAATTCTGGTTTGATTTTATTTTAAGTTATACTTTGTTCTATTTCAGGTCTCATTTGCAATTAAATAAAATAAAATAAATCATATTTTGCATTGAAATTATTTGCACTATCATAATTTTACACCGCCATTTTATATGGACTGGACATCTGGACACTAAAAGCATGCCATGCGTCATGTTCCAATCAACTCTTGATCAATGTTTGCAAAGGCTGAACCGTTTTACCCTTTGGGTGGATGGATCGTTGTCAACTATTTTTGTTAATAGGTCGACAGGGCATTGACCAAGTCAACTATTTTATTTTATTTTATTTTATAATATGGCAGGTTAATGGTTAACTAAGGGATTGTGTGCTTATTAGGGTAAAAATTTGACTAAGTTTAACAGACTGGTTGTAGTTAAATCATATTTTTATATATTTTTTATGGAAAAATATGGTATGAGAAAGGTTTTGACCAATTAAAACCCACCCATAAATTTTGACAAATAACATCTGATTGGCTACTACGTTTATGATTCTATTTGACTCGTCAAAAGTTTTTCAAGTATCATATTTTTTTCATATCATAGTCGAACCCTTTTTTTATATAATATATGTTTATAATATATATATTTATAATATGTAATGTATTATATATTATTTATAATATAGTAGGAGGTAATATGAAGTGATGTTTTAAAAACTGTTTTGATTTTTTTTTTAATAATTAATGGACACATTTTGCCTTTCCGCTCAGTCTTTCGGTTGTTTACAAGTTGTGAAGTCTGAAAATTGGTCTATTTCCGTTTGGCACACGGAAGATCTAGCCGCCAAAAGATAGGACACCGAAAAGACACGCGAAGCCCATTTTGGGCTGATTTCGGAAAGCTCCAAATGAAGTTTCCCACGTCTTTCACGTTTTAATCTTGTGTGGAAAGACCCAAAATGATGCACGGAAAAGACGTGCATCTGCCAAACAGTCTTTGCGCTGCCCAGATCTTATGTCAAAAGTTCAATGCGTCTTTTGGCTGTCAGGGCTACAAGAAGATCTTATCAAAAAGACTTGCCAAGCGGGCCCTAATTCAAGACAATATCCTAGATTCTTAATTGTTTATGAGGTAATATATTTCATTAAAAGATCAAAAATGAAAAATAATTGGATGGCAATAAAATTAGACATGAGTAAGGATTATGATAAGGTAAAATAGAACTTCCTAAAAGGGGATATGGCTAAATTAGGTTTTGGTGCAAAATGAATTAAGTGAGTAATGGAATGCATGTCCACTTTGTCCTTCCAGTTTTAGTAAGTGGAACCCCTAGTAAAAGATTCTTGCCAGAAAGAGGTCTCCAACAAGGAGATCCCCTTTCCCTATATCTTTTTGGGTTCTAATTTGAACAATGTGTTAAAAACCGACTCGGAGGTCAATTTATTGAAGGAGGGAGATTTGGCGCGACCCCTTGGCCGCGCGACACGTGGAGGCAACTGAGTATGACCTGGCAAGAGAGTCAGCTCGGCACAGCGACATAGCCATAGCCCAAGAAGAGGCCCGAGCTCCCCGAGGTGGGGCCCCGAGCTCTCCAAAAGAGAACCCGCATTTCCCAGGAGGTAGAACCCGAGCTTTCCTTAGAAATCCCGAGCCCTGCAAGGAAAACCACGAAAGGCAAAGCCCGGACTAATCCACCTCAGGTAAGTCCGGGCCACGCTCCTGTCCGAGCTCAAGACTTCACCTCGTGCACCACTCCGGTACCTCGCCTCCAGGTCGCATGACTGAACGACCGTACCTGACACCAAAGAAGTCCGTACTCTGAGGCGGCACGCCTGATTGATCGGGGATCTGACACATGACAGCCACACTCCAATGGCCACCTGCTACCGCCATCTCAGTCGTTGCAGAGACGGCTCCGACAGGGAAGACAGTGGCGGTTATGTCTGCACCCCCGCAGAGGCGGTTACACCTGATCTGGCAGAGGCTTGGGAGTGAGTGCACCAGGGCAGTTATAAAAAACCCTCCTCCCCCTAGAGTAAAGGTAGGTGATACTTTGCGCCTTCTGGTCTAAGAGAATTTCTCATCTTCCTTGCTTTCTCAAGAGTGCTAACTTGAGCGTCGGAGCATTCCAATCGAGTTCCTCCCCCGAGAATCTCTTGTTTCCTCCTTGTTTCAGGCATCTCCCACTCCGTCAGAGGCAAGGTTATCGGAAACTAGGACCGACCGGATCGTGCATCATCATTTGGTGCCATCTGTGGGAAGCGCTTCAAAAAGCCTCCCCCAACCTCTAGCTCTTTCCTAAAGAAAGAAAACTTAGCATTCATGGTTTCCTCCGGCAGTGATAGACGTAATGCTGACCTGAATGCTGTCGGGGAACACCCTCAGCCCCCCACTGTCTGCATCGGGCAGTTCACCATCCCCCTCTCGGTGGAAGGAGTCCCTAGCCTGAATGTGCCACGAACAGTGGTGCCTGTGAATGTTCCCCTTCCCCCCTCTATTGAGACAACCTTCGCTGAACCAACCGTTGTCCCTCTGGCGACCAGCCAGAACCAATTCGACAATTTGATGCAATGCATGCGGGCCATGCAAGCCCAAATGTAGCAACTTCAGCAACACCAACTCTACCAGTAGCAGATGTTACATCA